TTTATACTTGGTTATTCAGATGTGTAAACTGATGCTAGAACCACAAGGCTCCAAAGTTACAACCCGATACTCACTAAAAGCTGCCATTTATCACCTTTCTGGGGCGTTATGTGCAATAGTATGATCTGCTGAAAGCAAGGTATCACGGTATATGGCTTCTTTTATTTATTTATTTATCTATTTATCTATTTATTTACTTATTTTTGAAAATCATGTAAAGGAATAAAGGAATAAATCAGGTAGTTTGGGTCCACACTGTTCAAACTGGGGGAGAGGGTGGGAAATCAACGAGGAGTTTCTGTCTCCCTCGGCTTCCAAATCCCTGCTGCTCCGGGCTGGTCACCCCTGTGTCACTGCCGAAAGCCCAGGGTGTTTTGCTCTGCTCCCCATCACCCTGGTGCATGACTATCACTTGCAGATATTCTTGCAGAGCATAATATTATGTGCTATTATGCTAGCATATAATACTAAAAGGACAAAAATCTGATTTTAATAAGTAGTAGTTCTGCGCAAATCTTGAGAAAAGGGATAAATAAATCTTCCCTAAAGGTTATGAGGCAGATCTCCAACTGTACTCACCTCTTGTAAAATGTGGGAACAGACAGTGTATTTAGATTGTTGCAGAGTTGAAACTCAGGCCGTTAGCCGCGATGCAGGGAGGGAATAAACAATGACTTAATGTCAGTCCTGTTTCACAGAGAGCAATAAATATGGGGAGAAAGTTGCTGAGTAAGGCACTAATGCACCAAGTGCTAGAAATGAATCAAGAGGTAGTGCCATTTTTATAGGGAGAAAAGGAGTGAGGAACAGACTGACCAAGCAAAGAGATGAGGCTGAGATCAATTTAAAGGGAACAGACTTGCTGGATTAAGTGGCCATTTCCAGCGCAGCCAACTGCTATTAGTAAATCTATGCCAGGGAAGTCATCTTTTATGTGGAAGGGATGAAGGAAGAGCAGCAGGGAGAACCTCACGCAGCCTGTAATTTCACAAAGCTTCAGTAAAGCAGATACCAAGGAGGGATGCCAAGTAGGCAGATGCTTTGAAGATCCTCAAAGTTAGGGAAGTTGGGCAGAAACCATGAAAGGCAATGCTAACAGCCTAACCAATAAGCAGAAATGAACTGGGAAGCAAAGATGACTTTAAAACTGGTTTGTGGATCCTCTCTTTTGTAAAATCTGACCACTGGGGCAGGGTGAGAAAATCCCTGCAAAAGATAGTGAGCTTTCAATTTTTTTTTCATCTGAATTGATATAAAAAGTCAACATCACAAAATGCTGGAGACACTAGCAAGCTTCACCATGTAGATGTCAAAACACTTTAAAAATTGTGACTAATTTCCATCTTCATTTTTTTACTTGCAAATTTTTTCAATATGAATTGAGTAAAATTGAGAAATTAGCTTGAGAACTTGGGAAATGTTTCCATTTAGAAGCTTCCAAAGCTGAGTATATAATATATCTAACTGATACCATTCTTGACAAATTTTTTGCTTTGGCTCCAGCCCAGGAATTCAGTTTCGCTGGAGAATCCCCAGCTCCAGGGGCTGCCTCCTGCTCTGCAGCAGCCTGTGCCAGCAGCCAGGGCTCCCGGGGCACAGGCCTCATCCAAGGCTCTTCAGGCCTGGCCGTGCCCTCCATGCGTGAGCCAGCTGGCTGCCTCGTTGCACCAGCACTATTTTTGGTAGCCACTACTGCCACGGCATCATGAAGGGGCCTTTGTGAGAAGAAAGAAATGGGCCATGTGGGCCTGATTCTTCACTGCCCGATGCCTGTATAGACTTTTGCACTATAAAACATAGGCATAAAACAGTACATTCTCCTGATCGCAATTTGTATCTGTCATTTAAGATGAATGGCAAAAAAAAACCAGTATCTCCATTTTCTTTTCCTTGAATATTATGGAGACAAAGACTCAGTTTTCTACTATATTATTCCTCATTGTGTCATTGGTATCTATTCAGAAGAAGTTGCAAGTTTTCATTTGCATCACAGCAGTATTTTTCTCTTCCCTTTCCTGACTTTGAGTGGCTTTACAAGGTGCACAGGGGGCAATGCAGAATCAAAACCTGTGTGTTCACACCGTCTGTTGGATTCTCCTTGTCTGTCTATCCATCAGTGAAGGCGTATCAAAGCGGGCACAGGCTGCCCGCGTAAGTGATACGCAATCTCACGGCCCAGCCAAGTACAAATAACCCCTTTGCTTTGCTCCTGAGAGGTTTCTAAGGCACTGCTCGTGAGGATTGTTCTCTGGCTCCTGAAAGGAAGAAAGGAAACCTAATGAGCTGGGAAAGTGTGAGGGAAGGAGGTCCCTGTGGGGTGGAGGTGGCTGCTGCTAAACCCTCAAGGATGTCCAGAAATTTGTCAGAGGCAATTTACATTTCTAAATCCTGCCAAGGACAATGTCCTTCTGAGCAGAAAGCTGTTTCTGCCAGAATTTTGCTGCCACCGGGTTTCACTTTACTAGGTCTTTTTTCTCTATTTTAAAACTGAAACACTCTGCTTGTTCTGTTCTTCTGGTACTCTGAGCCCCGAGCAGGGAAAGAATTAATGGGAGCGGGAAGCGGGGCAGCCGTAACATGGGAACTCTGCTCAGGTTGCCCAGCAGTGCACGGGGTTCGTCCCGAGCTGCTGCTGGCGCCTCAGCCTGGGGGGACGCGCGGCCTCCCCATGGCGCCGCTTCTGCATGGGTTTGTGCACACAACCAGAAGCAGAGGGACCTCTCCTAATGTCCTGGGAGTCCATACTCAGGCGGGAGCGAATGGCAACAGCACCAGCACAGGCCGATGATCGCGGACGTTGGGGATAAAGGGCTGTCAACAGCAGGATCATGGAGTCAGCTGCGCTCACATCAGTCCCTACAGACACTCACAGTAGCTCTCAGATAAACAAGTTCTTTGCTTGTCATCCACCAAGATAGATCGGATAGGACAGGGCGCTCGCCTTCTTCTGTTAGCCTCTAAAAACTGTTACCATATTTCCCTTCACTCTCAGCTTCTCCAGACTAAACGTCAGTCTCTTCAGTCTTACAGCGTAAACCAAACTTTCACAAAGTGAGCCATATTTCTGAATTCTTCTTTTCCCTGTTTCTCTTTTATTCCTTTTCCAATGTATCTCTACCTAAAATACTTTATCTGTCCCCTACATTTACCATAATCAGATAATATCCTTAATACCTTTCTTCTCCATCAATTTCACAACTTCGTAACAGGGGTGTTCTAGATTTCCTTACTGCGTTTCTCCTTACACTGTTTTACTTTCCTGCTTTTGCAAAAAATTATCTTAAAATATTAAGATATTTCCGGTCTTCCTGGTTAGAGAAGCGTGGACTGAGCACCACTTCACAAGTCAGGAACTCCTGAGCTCTAGTTCTGCTTTGGCAGCAATTTGTTTTCAGTGCTGCCTCAGGCAAGAAAGCTGACCTTGTGCTCTCAATGAGCTTTTTGAGAAGGCCATGTAGATATGGAAAAAAGCTCAGATTAGTATAAAGACATTAGCTTTACTTTTGTAACTTGTAGAGCTGTCTCTGGAGAATCTAATACAAAAGTTCAGAAGATGTTATATGTGTTTAGGTCCAGTATCAGTTAATACTTGACCAATACCCTTGAGCTGTTTTTGGTATGAAGACCTTGACAATCTGACAAAAACAAACTGAAACCTTGTGACAGTCCTCAGTTAAGAAAGGCCTCCTCAGTCATAAGCCTGACTGTACTGGTTTGTGCGTGTGAGACATATAACACCTCATGTTTTTCATCTTCATATTCCTCAGCTTTATGGCAGTCCTGAAGCCTCTGGGCAATAACTATTCTTAAGATTTTTATCTCTGGGCAACAGAGTTGCATAGTTGTTCTGTAAAGTGATGATAAAGAGTGCTTGTCACCAAAGAATGTGCGCTGCTTAGAAAACCTTGAGGTTAACCCAAGATTAGCTCAAATGTGCAAGCTACCAGTAGGACTTTTTTTTTTTTTCAATAAACTACCATACTTAAAAAAATCAGGAATTCTTCCCAAAACTTCCTTTTGTTCAATAAAAATACTGTATAAGAAATCTCTGGGATTTCTGGGTATTCTGTTCAGTGCAAAGCAAGGATTCCTGGCATCCCCGGGTCATTAGCTCTCTGGCAAGCTAGTGCTTCTTATCAAGTGCTCTGATGTTCAAGGGCTGGAGGGCTTGTTCACACGGGAAAACTCAGTGGCATTAATCATATCTCCTCATTGCAGAATGAAACATCCATATGGGAATGAAACTTAATTATATTTCTGTGGAAAAATCCAAAGTACCTTCATACAGTCTCTCCCCAGAAATTTTTTTATGGCACAAGTAATGCAATACAGTAGGGACTGCATCTGGGGACAGCAGAATCTTGCACAAAAGCAGTTCTTCACTCCTGTGAAGATTTCCTTCTTTGAGGCAGTTATTTGATACAGAGCACTCTGTTCCTGCCTTTGAAACCCTCATTCTACTGTGTGTTAGAGACACCACTCACATACCTACCCCCACACTGTTTTAAATTATTGATAGCAGTTTTGCTGCGCTTACACTTTCGTGTTCCAAGTGCATCCCTGTGCAAATGCATCGTGTCCCTGAGCGCTGCACTGGGGCAGGTGCTGTCTGAGCAGCGCATGCAGCGCCCGGCTGAGCAGGTGACGGGCTCAGTGCTGATGGGGAGAGCACCGCAAGCAGCACAGGAATCCGGGAAACACAAAGCCAGTTCACTCTTTGGAGGCTACTGGCAGGCCACGCTGCACCTGCAGCCACAGGCTTCATCTGCACAGCAGGGAAACAAGTTAGGTGCTGTAAGCATAATTCGATGGGTGACGAGGAGGAAAGAAACAAAGCTGCCTCTCACGACGCTTCCTTTGCCGTGGCCGTGGCGAGGCCTTGCAGCCCAGCCCT